TGTCGGTCGCACGTTTACCGAGCTGCCATATGTGACCTACGCTAAGCTGGGCGACAGCTTGCAATTCTGGCATAGAGACGAGTGCCCATTTTCACATCTCGAACCCTTCGTTTCATGTCCGAAATTACGTTTGAAAACTGCTGAAGAGACCCCACTGCAGGCCAATGTTATAAATTGGGTGAGACTGTCATCGCAGTCTAACGTCACTGGTGCAGTGCTATTCAACAACTGTGGGTGCGAAATTCTTGTTGACATGGAGGACGGAGAGGTTACTGTGCCGGTGTTTACGAGCGGAAATGATGACGTGGTTCGACGTAAAGGACGAAGACTTGGCCACGCGACAGAGGTGGACATCCCGGGTTGCGAGATGAAGGAAATAAATGAGTGCAGAGAGGAGTGCAGCGCGGCGAATCCAGAGCAAATTCTGGTTACGGAGGCGCGACGGCCGATTGGGTGCGAGGAAATTAAAATGGGCCCCTCCGTAACAGAGGAGCAGCGTCGTGAGCTCGCGTGCCTCCTAAATGAGTACCAGGATTGTTTCGCCGCCAATCTCAGCGAACTTGGCTGCACATCTGCCCTTTCGATGGACATACAGGAGATACCTGGTAGCGCACCCATGGCTGTTCGGCCCTACGGCACGAATGCAGCAAAGCGAGAGGCTATACATGCATGACATCGTCGGGGAGCGGAAAAGAGAGGGAATCGGAACTGAGACACATTCCGAGCATGCGAGCTCAGCCATTACTACAGGCACTGCGCCGTGCTCCCGACCGGGTTGCAGAAATTAGGTGCCTTTTCTCATCTTCTAACCACTACCACCACCATTACTACATCGATGGTCGATACAAAGCAGCGAGATTGGGACGAAAAGCTCAGTGAGGCAGAGTGCAGCTTGAACAACGCTGTAAACAAGACGACCGGGAAGACTCCCTTCGAGATGTTACACGGTTATCGACCGGAATTTCACAGCGTGACAGTGAAGCGCTTGGTTGAATCCAAAGCATCAGAGCGGGAGGAGCCTGGCGGGCTGCGCGAACGTGTACGGCAGCGCCTCGTGAGCGAGCAGAAGAAGATGAAGGTCGCTTACGACAAGCGCCACTTCCCGGCTAAAATGTACAGTGTCGATGACGTGGTCGTCATGACGAGGGCTCCAGAACAGACGGGAAAGCCTGCCAAAGCCCAGCCAAAATATAGGGGCCCCCTTGTAATCACGGCAGTGTTGCCAGCTGACACGTATCGAGTTGCCGACCTTGACGAAACAAAGGCGAGCCGCTTCGCGACCACCGCGCACGTGTCACAGTTGAAGTGCTGGACAACGACCAATCCGCATTCACACCTTGATGACGACGGAGAGTCTGCGGAGGAGTCGGACGCCCCCGAATGTGAGGTGCAGCGACTGAGACGTTCGGCCCGTAGCTGCGCCAAGACCCATCCCTATGCGAGTGCGCCATAGTTGCGTTGGCGTCTGTTGAGAACTTCAGTGCGTGCCGGGATTTACCGAGTGAACTGTGCGTACTTAAACAGTTGCTTTTTTTTTTCTTGTCTTCTTCAACGAAGGAAACAATTCTGTTTGTGTATTGGCGTGTGGGTTTGTTTATAATTTTTTTTCCATTAACGAGGACGTTAATGACTGTCAGGACGACCGAGTGTACCCGACTGCCTCAAATCTTTTAGGTTTTGTTTTATTTATTTCTTTTTGCGTGTGTTGTGCCGTGCGAGTGTCCGTTGGTCACTCGAGGGGGCCGTCCTCCTTGTTTACGGGCAACAGCGATCAGCGAGCCTCCCAGACCTGCGGGCGCCGGGTCAGCACAAAGGCGGCGGCCTGCTTTAATGCACCTTGCCAGTTCGAGTGCAAGAAGATGGAAACATGCCGCTTTGTGCATCCGTGGCCTGTGGGACGTTCGACTCTGTTTCCCCGAATGGCGAAGCGACGGCCTTCCCCCACTGACTTCGTGGAACAATTTGTGCACGTGCGTGAGTGTGTGTGTGTGTATGTGTGTGGCGCGTGCGCGTTTGTGTCAGCGTGCGCGCATGTGTGCTCGGATCTGTGGTCGAGAGAGGAGAGCGAGAAAGCGCGGGAAGAGCCAGAGACGCAGCGAGAACGGCGAACGAACGAGAGTCTGCGAATTGCGAGCGACTTGAGCGGTTGTGCGTTGTGCGATGTGCGGAATTGAACGGATGCGCGAGTAATAATTGTAACCTAGTTTTTTAATTAAATACAGCCTTCTTTTGTTTACATTTTCTTAACAGTGCGTGAGTCGTGTGTTGTGTCTTCTATCAATTTTCCCCTTTTTACGGTCATACTGGCGACACCCTAAATTTTACCAAAAGCGGGATAGAGGACGCTAACACTATATTGCATTAATTCGTCTGCTCGAACTTCGAATTTGCATAATTCATATGGTCCCTTTAGGCGGATTATAGAATAGAAAGTTGAAAACAATTCAGCGTATGAATGCTTACTTCTTTAGGATTTTGATTGTGATATACGCACAACAAAGAATGATCAAATGAGCTCATTTTATTGAGTATACACTCGCCGCAAAAGGAAAGCCCCACGGTTTTTCCATTAAACCCTTAAAACAACAAGCACGAATGAAGCGGCCCTCTCTCCTCCTCCGCTCATCGCCAAAATGACTTCCTCTACGCATTACTTCAGTTTCGTGCGCGTAGTTGACCATGCTCGACCAGCTTGTACGGGATTTTTTTTTTTGCTGTGTCCTGTACTCAAAAAATTATCACTATGCCGCGTGTGGGGGAAGCAGCGCAAAGGCCAGAATGAGCAAGTGGGAATACACGAGAAAACATGACATTCACTGTTTTTTTTCTTGTCTTTTCACTTACACCTAGTTCTGGGCGAAGCTACGCCCACATGGTATGATTAGCAATCACTAATCTGCCGACTACTCCACTTTATAGAGCGATTAGTGAGGTGACGAGGTCATTGTGTCAGTTACATGGAAAAGTAACTGCACTGTCAGTTTGTCTCATCTGTGTACACTTTTTGCTTTATTCGTGCTTTCATTCAAGAAGACTTCATATGTAGCCCACTATCCTAAAAGGCAGTGTGTTTACTTGTTCCTCTGCTATTTATTAAGGTACTTGTATGGCCACCCTTTCCCTTTTATTTATTTATTTATGAATTTATAGTGTATGCCTGCGTCCACTTTTTTACCGTTTGACACGTAGTCGAGAGCTCACTCCTTATTCCTAAATATCATTCTTGACCTCATCTCCCGTGATCCCAGCACACATCCCTTTTGCACAGTAGAGCAGCTTGGGGAGCATTTCGCTTTTTACAGGCTTTAGTGACCATTACGACGGGATCAGATGTCATGCCTTGCACCTAGGTGAGTGCGTGTGCATAAAAAAAGCCATACATCTTGTGAAAATGGCCATAGATAGTTTTTAAATATCACTATGCAAGACCAGCCGCACGGCACTCGGTTCAAGAGTGGCGAATGTTTTCTTTGTATTTCTATCTTCTTCATCACCGTTCTCTTGCGTAGGGTGATGAACAATATTATATGTTCTAGTCCAAGTCAACATACTGCAAAGGTCCATGCTGTTAGACGAGTGTCCAGGTTAATTTAGTGCAATTTTCGTCCTTTGCAATGTTCTCACACTTGTGGTGCGCTTAACTCGTTAGCAAGCATGGCGCTGGCACAGTTTTGCTTTTTTCGTCACTCCTACAGAGCTTGTGTCAGTGAATATTTCAGCAGACACAGTTGGCGTTGCCCCAACACGAAGCCGCTGTGCTCAGAATTCGCGATAGGCAATATAGTAACCGTAAATGAATCTTGTCAATGCTACAGATGGCTTGCTTACGCAGCTTTCAAGCAACTTGGGCAAGCCAGACTTTACCGAGAGCCCCTACACGTTCAAGTTGGTCGTGGTTGCGGGAGCAGTTCTGTCCAACTGAAAGAACAGCGTCAGTTTCCTGCTCAGGTTCACGTTAAACTTCTCCGCAAGAACACTCATTATGCAGTGAAGCGCACTTGTAGAATAAGATTTTTTTTTATTAGTGGGGCTTAGTTGGGACACAATATTAAGAAAAAAAAGAGCGAATATAGCTTGAAAAACAAAACACACTACCTTTGTGTTATTTTATCGGCGTCTGCTGGTAAAATACTACGAAGGAATGGTTTGGGAAAGAGGTTAAAAAAAATTGCATCTTTGCCGCAAAATTGAAGCAACGAACGTGAGAGCAACAAATTGGAAGGTCATGCGAAGAATGGCAAGTAGATATAAACAAGCCCCACATTTCTCACGCACAAAATACACACGAAACGTACTCATAGATACTGATGAACGTGAATAAGCGTCTCAGTTGTCACTTCGCTGTGTCTGAAAAAAGCCCCCTTTTCGCAAACGGAGGCTGTACAACGAGTGCAGTGACCTTTGTGTGCCCGGTAACTACAACTCAATTGTTCCGGTACAAGTCCGAGGCGTACAATTGTCCCCACAGCGAGATGACTTGAGAGTGCGCCGCCACATCGTGACGATCTGGCGACGCGCGCTCATTGCGCCATCTCACTGTGCTGAAAACACGATAGTTCCCCCAAGATGCCCATCAGCAGCCATAAGTGGCAGATATAAGTAGCTTTCTGTTTGGACGTTGAAGAATATGCTTTACCGCGGCGCAGTGGCTAGCGACTCGCACTCACAATTCAGAAGTCCGACGTTCGGTTCCGGGCACTGGAGTCTTTCTCAATTGCTTTTCATTCTTGCGTTTTCGTACATATAGATACGTATACACATACGGTGAATGACCTCGACGGCGGCGGCAAAATCCAGCTGAGAGTGTCCTCATGACTGCTATCGAAATAAAATGCTCATCGCTGTAGGCTGCGTCAATCGACAAACTTTTTTAAAGAGTGCTTATAACGTGACACTAGGACAACATGTGATAGCGACGATATAATAGATGTTTAGTGCTTTCTTGTAAAAATATTTTGTAGTGGCATTATGAGGCCAGCTGCTGCAATAGATTTATGTACCTGCTTGCTGTGTAGCACAAAGCAGCGTCACCCAGCCAATGCCTATGGTCCAGAGGGTGCGGTGGCATCCCGCGTACGCAGCTGACAGCAGGGGATGGAAAGCCATGTCGCCTCGCCGGAACGGATACGCCACAAACACGGCAGAACCACACAGCACAGTAGCAATCAGCCAGCCGGCAGCCAAGGTAGCCTGCGCGTGCCGTAAACGCGACATTGCATTACTTGTCCGCCATGGTCACAACACAACTGTTACATGCTGCAATTCCGTGCGCACGCATGCCTGCGATGCGTGTGCGTGTGTCCACACACGAGCGTTTTCCGTACACTATACAGCACAAAGCTATGCGGATAATATGTAAGCATCATCTTCGAGGCGCACAAACTCCAAAGTTGATAAATTTGTATGCTCACTGACTAAAATGAAAGAGAACAGGCCGAGGAACGGGAGGAAAGAAAGATGCGCTGCGAGTTTCCCGACTGTTTCCTTCCTTTTATATTTTTTTTTTGCGCAATCACGATTATATTTAACAAACACCAACTTTCCCACGAAGTAATTCCGCATTAATATGGATTCGAAAGAAAGCCGCATGAACAACTAACTACGCAAGCTTAAAGATTCACACGACTTTGCCGACAGGTGTAACAGATTCCCTGCATGCCCAGCGACGCAGCAATGCATTGCGGCAATGCAGCACCTCTTCATATCAAAGCAACAGTCATTGTACAAACGTGCAGTAATAGGCAGGAAAAAGTGATTTGAATTAACCTGTAGGCAAGGGCTAAATTAAGGTATGAGTGTTGGATGTCATACTACCGACCCGGCTACGTAGATTTAGGTGCACATTAAAGAAAGCCACAAGGTCAAAGTTTGCGGATGCCTCCGCTGTGGCGTCTCTTGTAATCGGATTGTGGTTTTATTAAGTAAGACCCTAACAATTATTACTATTAGTATTGATTGGGCTGCAGTCAAATAATACAAAGGAATGTATAGGGTAAGTTATTAGAACCAATGTAAAGTAAATAGGAAGAAAGAAGAGTGGGTGAAAAAATGACGCCGTGAGCAGGTAACTTGCCCTGCTCTCGGCAAGTTATTTTTTGACCCACTTTTCTTTCTTCCTATTTACTTGAAATTGGTTCTAACAACTTCCCTATACATTCCTTGGCATTATTGTCGCATTCTTCGGCATTATTGGCATATTTCGACTGTATATGCAATGTCGTTTTCTATTGTGAATGGCTATTTAGTACTACTGCTGTTACCCCCAACGCGAGCAGCACCACGTCAGGATGCAAACCACTTCAATTTGTCCTGACCATGGGAAATGTATTTGTACCGTCAAAAATATGAAATTAAATATATTTAATAATATTACTAATATTACTAATATTACTATTAATATTACTAATAATATTACTATTACCGCTATTACTACTATTATTACTATTATGTTGTCCTACCTTTCCGAATCGAGGCACCTTGACCGCGAGGAGAATGTATCCGAAGCAGAGACCTATTGCGAATGGGCCGAAGTGCGTGAAGGGCTGGTAGTACACCATATTCAGGAGCTGCTTTGCCTTGCTGCGCAGAGAAAGTGAATGCATCACGTGCGATTCAGTAAAGCAACCGAATTCTCTGAAAATAAATTTAAAGCGCGAGATTTTATATTAGCTCATTCTTCACTGACCCATTGTCGACGCCGTCCATAGCGTAGACCTTGGCCGTTGACAAGTTTTTGTGCAACACCAGGAGGCTTTATGGACTAGTCGCAACCTTTTAAGGCACTGTGTTTTTGTCACTTGCTTTTGCCACTCGTTTTTGCAAATTGTTACTGCAACCTATTTTTTGAACTTTTTGTCACTTGTTCTTGCAACTTGTATTTGCCACTTCACTGAAGTAGTGGCCAAGAAATAGGATTAATTCCTTGCACATAACAAGAATTGAAGCTTCCACATTGATAGCGTTGACTTATCCTCAATGCACTGCTTATGACGGCAGCTGACCACTTCGGTGAAGAAACTGCAATGTTCGATGGGCCGTTTGGCATGCCGCTACCCCGGATTGACACCATAATATTGATATTTGCCCGAAATGAACACAAAAAATAAATAAATTGCGCATGCATTTTGAGCAGGACTTTTTTTTTCTGCCAAATGGTTACATGACTTACTGCTGAATTATTCATATATATTTAGGAAACGCTAACTGTGATCAAAGTTTCAGAAACAACACACTACCTCTTTCTCGAAATATAACATCAAGTGGCTTAGAATCATGTTTTACGAAATTTACACATTTGTGAATAGTCCATCTTAGTTGGAGCCTCGTGAACCTGACCAGCATGAATATTTCACCTTGCTCATCAAGAAGTGATGGCGCTTTTCTTTACTTTCTCGTGCTATTTGTCAATTTAAAGGGCCCCCAAACCACGTCCGGTAAATCTTTAACACTTCATATGCCCACGCGAATCGCGTTCAGAATCCCGTCACGATCAGCAACGCCAAATGTGGCAGCGCTACAAGGTGGGGGCGTCCCACAAATTCCAAGAAACATTATCTCCTCCTGTCCGCGCCTTTCGGCATTCCTCATCCCCTCAACGTTAACCGTGACGTCCACATGGTGTATACTCGTCATCTACAACACCTGCTTGTCCACTCTCAGGTACACGTGATCACGGCTATTACTCCTCACACGGTGAGGAAAAACACTCGGCCAGGGGTAGATACGAGCCAATAAACGACGCATAGCGAAGGGGGGGGGGGGGGGGAACGAGCGAAGGCGTCTTTTGCATCATGAAATACTCTGCTATCACGTCACTCTTTCGAAAAGGTCTCCCGGCTAAGTGTTCGTTGCAGACTCGAGCGCAACTGCAGCACCACAACCGAGGTTCAACCTTCGGGTGGCTCACGGGCACTTTAATGAGCGTATCTGAACCCCAAGAACGCACTCACCTCCAACGCGCCGTCATCATAAGCATAGCAGGAGGTAGTTCGTTCATGTAAGTCACCACACTAGTGACTAGGCAACTGGCTATGGTCAGGGCCATGATGACCAGCAGGGTCACCTTCGGTTTCCTGTTGAGACATGATTTACAAGCACATAAAAAACCAGAAAGAGCAGAACGGAACAAACAAAAAAAAGAATACCGTCAGTCATGAGGAAAAAAAACTTTACTCTTGAGGAACTTCACAGGCCATAGTTGTTACAAGAGAAATCGAATAATGCGCAGCTTCAGCACACATATTACCATGTATCGGTTTTGTTATACTCATTACGTTTTATTTCAATGCTGTTACGTGTGCTCCCACAAGCGGAAGTAACTTGATTCAGACTTCTTCCCTGTTGCAGAACTCCGGTAAGTGCCATGAATCACTTCTCTTTAGAGCAATAAATAATGACACTGGATTTATTTTCAGAAAAACGATAGAATGCAGGGTGTTGCAGCTAAAAACCACCAAGCAATAAAAAATTAAAATTGATTGTATTGTATAGTTCTTCAACTGCATTGCACAGAATTGTTCTTAGGTGTATGCCGCACGTCAGAATATTTTTGATCCGCCAAATATGGCAATTAATAAAGATTGCTTAATGAAGTTTTTAAATACTGACTAGAGATAAAATTTTATACAAGACATGTAGCTCTTATCCACAAATAACAAAACTTGTCAAGTTACGGTAAGATAACAACGCTGGTTAATTTGTTTCCAGTGTTTGTTTGAAGTATGCGAAATTTTAAAAAATACCACGTGATTGCGCCCAATGCGCGGCGCTTTGAGTGCCCTCAAATATAAGTGGAACCAATTAGCGAAGGCTTCTGGCGCACGAAGGTCGCTTGAACAGGCTATCGGTGACTACTATGAACATTGAGCGATGGTTGGAAGGTACCATTCAAAAAAATAAAGGGGGGGGGGAAGAAAGAAAGAAACGAACACAATAAACGAACACAAAAAGTGGCCGCCACGTGCAATGCGTTACAAGACCAAAGGTAGCATTTGACGCCGCGCAGGCTTTTTTTTTTTTTTTTTCGGGCCAACGATCAATATGGTGGTGGAGGAAATGGTGACATTCTCATTGTGCTTTTTAAATCATTCCTTTATCAAAATATGTGGTGCGCAGTTTTTCGGACACGCTTCGACAAGAGAAAGTCTTAACCCCCGTATTCTAGAACGTCCCTTCACTCAACGCTTCGCCTTCACTTGAGTAAGCCGATGGGAGCGCCTTATATCTGTGATAATCTTCTGCAATTCTTGAGTAGCACAGCGTCATTTTCAGCCGAGTAGTGGCGCCGTGTTCAACTCTGTCAAGTGAAGGGCAAAAGTCGAGTCGAGGTGCGTTTGTGAATACCGGGATTAGTTTGGAACGATGCGTTTAACTAATAAAGAACGTGCTAATATGGTTCTCACCGTCGGCCGAGTGAAAGGAAGCAGGAGAACATTTGGTGCGGGAAACACAATCCTCCCCCCGCATCGCTTCCCGAAATTTTAGAGGCCATGCGACTTGTTTTTCATATCTGCATAACCTAAATATTCTCAGTTCTTTTTCATTATTCAATGAGGATTAAGCCCAAATTTTTTTGTTGCAATGCGAATGATCTTTTTGCAAACCAGTGCAATGATACGGAGGATACTTCGAATCCTTGACGCGATCTACTGCAAAACTTGGACGCGCAAGATTTTTTTTTTATGCCTCACGTATGATCACGACATCCCAGTTTCTCGCTTAACAATAAATTAATGGGCGAACGCCAAACTAAACACCCGTTTAGCTCAACGTGAACTACACTGTCAACACACATTCTCCACAGTGACTTCAGCATATATCAAGAAACCACAAATTATCTCCACAAGGCGTCTCACTTGTGACTTACAGCTCCATTCTTTCTTTGAACACGTTTAGAATGCGTTGACTTCTTTTTACAGCACGTGACTGTACAATTAAATTCAAATAATTATCTGTACGAACTATCAACAGCAAATGTTTGCGGGAATTAGGATCCACAACAAATGCTAATTTGTGTTATATCAGAGCTTCATGCTTGAATTGATTTACATGTGTGGTTTAACGTCTCAAAACCACCGTATCATTATGAGAGACTCCGTAGTGTACAACTCCGGAAATTTCGACCACCTGGGGTTATTTAACGTGCACCCAAATCTGAGCACACAGGCCTATACAGCATTTTTCGCCTCCATCGAAAATGCAGCCGCCGCACCTGGGATTCGATCCCGCGATTATTGCTTGTAATCAAGCTGGTGACTGCATAGGTCGGAATTCCAAAAGAAATACGAATTTTGAAAATACGTTCCTAGACAGAAAGGGATTTCAGCTTTATCGGACATTTCGCGTCCCGCAAACTTTTGCTGTTCATAGTACATACCTGAATAGTGTGACACATCTCTGCTGTTTGTTGTTAACAGCCCACTCCCAAGCCGCTATGCCATTAAATGCCACGGTGGTTCGTGAACAAGAAACGACTTAATAAATATGAATTCGGTGTTCCAGCTCACATTGCTCTCGATAGTAAATTTTTACTACATGTATCAACACGCGATAATTTGCATGCCACCAAACACGTTCGTCTGATACACGTCAGCCCTCAAACATCTAGCCTGACTGACTGCGTTATTTCGTCTCACATTCCGTGCTTGGAGATACATGCAGGTGTGTTCGAACATGTGTAGTATTTAGGATTTAATGGTGGCCAAGAAGCAGCGACGTGCGCTTTCTGTTTCCATCTCCGACGACACCTACGAGCACCGGGTGACGGAACAGTAAGCCAGTCGGCTCGCTCGACGTGCAGTACTCACGGAATGAAACGGGACAATTCATGTGGCTAAGTAACGCACATATTTTCTTCTATATTGTCTTCAGTTCGGGTCTAATTCGCGTAATTTCGACTCGAACGCGCAGATCAGAGACATTATCTTCAAAGACCAGTTTCATTGAGATATAACGTTATCAAGAGTAATCGTGAATACCAATCGTCTACTTAAATATGGGTGTCTTGTTCGAGTCCGTGCGCACTGCACACAATTATGCTATAGTGCTCCGCAAGCACCCGGGTCGTTCTGAATTGTTTGAGAAAAGTCTATGGGGCTTTTGCGGAAAATAAAATAGAAAAGGATAACATCTATAAAGAAGCAGTCGCGGCAACATGCTTAATAAATATGTACAGTTACTACGGCATGCAGAGTGAATATTTTGAGTGTGCTTTCTTTTTATTATCAGTTTTGCTTCAAAATCACTTTGTTGAAGCACGAAGCGTGGGCGTTACCGGCGACAACGTTCACCGTCGGTTCATCGAGAAATGAAAGGCGCTGAATTAACTTTTTGAACTCACCTGAACATCATCAGAGTCAGAGGAAGACCGAAGATAAAGTACTGCATGTTCAGCGACAGGAACCACGAATGCAGCATGCACTGCGAAAAAAAAGGAGGCGCCAAAAAGAAGCTGTTACGAGCCATGGCTGACTTCTCGTATTCATTAAGGTGTTGCTCGCTAGGCGCAAAATTTTTTTCTCTTCCAAAAACAAGAAGCGGACACCCATTTTCTCTATGTCCTCTTCAGCCACCCACGACAGCAGATTATTTCATTTTTTCCCCAAATTATTTTCTCCTAGGGCGTAAGTCAGGATGAGTGTGACTCTCGTATATATGACTGCGCTCACACAAATTATATAGAAGGAACTCTCATCTCGAGATAGGAGAAGCTCTTCATCAGTCATCGGTGTCGCTTATATGAAAGCATACAAGTGAAACTTCTCCAGGAGTATAACACCTCATGTTCGTGAGCTCGAAGAAAAAAAAAACAGGTAAACGAGGAAGCATGGTACATTGTGGACATACACACAAAGGTGCAAGAAGAAAATGCAAGTCTCAGTTGAAAGGCTGGCCCTACGTGAATAAGTGCATGAGTAGACGCTAATACCCCTGTCACACAGCACCTTTAATGTCTTTCGGTTCGAATGACATTGGATGTTCCTGCTACATGGGCATAGTGAATGGCATTTACACCTGACACTCGCGCGTTGAATGTGTTCACTGAACTCTAGGAAGCGCGACATATATAATCTCGTCAACAGGTGCGCGACAATAAATTACAAAATCGACGCCTTAAAGGAAATGTAAGCGTTCAAATGTTTATTGTAGGTTACTGTCAACTTTTCATTAACGTGTTAACATGCAACGTGATAATGGGAGAAATTTGTGCAGATATATACCTTCTTTCACAGACATATAGCACTTCCTGTCAGCTATGTTTACAAACGCTCGCTGTCGTTTTGGTGCAGCGTCACCACGTTTGACTCGCTAGTAGCGGAATACACACGCACGTGTTGGACACCAGTTTAGGGCGAGTTCTAAAACATCAACTCTTCAATGAAATAATTCTCTCTTTCGAACAGACTTTCCTTATTTAGGAAACACTGCGGTTCTCTCTTGATCACTGGAGAAGTCAAAGCCCAACGGGCAGCTAACGTAAATTAATTGGCGTGCAGGCGCAGCTCCTAAACCCTCGTCTCTGATCTTTTTTGAACAGCAAGGTTGACGCACCTCAGTCTGTTCTGATGCTCCATTTGCAGCAGCTGGATAGTAATTGACGTTAATTTGCACTGACCATCATCAATCACGGTTACGAATTCATGAGCGCTCTCATGATTCGAAACATTTTTTACTGCAAGTGATGAGCAGCTTTAAGCTTGTCTTGTTTAGATATGTACGAGATTTTTTTTTTTTTGCAACTGATGCTGTTTTGTGGCGTCGCAGTATACTTTGTACCTGCCAGACTATGTTATGTAAAGTAAATGGGCAATTTGTAACTTTTTGTATCCATAGAGTATTGTAAAATTAAGTAGAGGAGACTCGGGCGCTGCGATCATTCAGCGACCATGGGAATGATGGGTAGTACACACATTTGCCTAGTTTTCGTACTTGCGGGTGGCGAATCGTACTTGTGGCTTCGTTGATTACTGTGTGCCGCTTTTGTTTCGAAGGAAAAACGATCCCTTTTGAAATTCGCGACTTGATTTGAAAAGGCAAGACTAAAAGAATAAGGTTCTGAAGCACAACCGCTGATCATATGCCGAGTTTGTTTTGTGAGAAAGAAAGCTGCTCCAAACCACACAAACACACATGAAGCCAGAAGCACAAAATTAGACAAAGCCGTGTACTACCTATCATTCCAATGCTTGATGAAGAGCCGTGCGTTGCAACTCCCATAGACACTAGCGCCAAAGTTCCCTCTAGTGTATATTTAGGAAACTATGTTGGTATCATAGCAGCCTTATGATAAACACTGACATCAATGGTGAATGTGATTTCACACAGCCGTGTAGACCCTGAATTGAAGATCACAATGCCATTTGTTAAGAATATCAATCGCGGCAAATATAATTACACGTGCCATGTTACAGGGTATAAGTCAAACATTCGAAGTTTTCTCAGTAACAAGAACTGAGAGCTGCCGAATCTCGGCAGTGAAAAAACAAAGGGTCAAGCGCCACCCTCCCTTCCGTCCAGACACAGCGTAAAGGGTTTGCTGCATGACAGCGTCGCTCAAGCTGATTAGCATCTCAAACATGTTCAGTGTGCAAATAACACGCAAACGTTGGGTCATACTAAGGTGGGCGTAGGACCAAGGGCGTTCAATCGCAAAACAATCGTATACTTGGCAACGCAGTACTTGGACTGCTACGCAGAAGCATGTTTAAGGTTTCAATGTTCCCGAGCAGATCATTATTACGTTCGCCTAGATGACATCTTTGTTTCCATTAAACTTTCTTTTGTTCCGCATATAGCTATAGGTTGCATAGATTAAGATTTGATTGATTGATTGATTGATTGATTGATTGATCTTGTTAGTAAAGACAAGGCGGCAAATGTGCCACTCAATGACGGCCTGGTTGTTTCCTCGCTTTTTTACGTGCACCGCCAAGACCCATTAAGACTTTTCGAACAGTTGGTGTAAGAGCTAAAATATCGGATCACGGCAAAATTGACAACATAAAGTGAGTGTTTTGGCAGTAGAGATCAAACCGTTTCTGAAACAGGACGATTGGGGGATCTGAATAAATTCTCATATTCGCAGTACTGAGTATTCGCCAGGCCCCGTATAGAGATTAAAACGTTAGCCTCACGAGAAGTCCCACTATCATAGGTCGGTGAACTAACTCATGAGTCGACACACACCGACTCACTCAACTCAGATCAAGGCATGAAACTGAGTGAGTGTGTCTAGGTGAGTAATGCTTTAGCGAGTCCGAGTGAGTCCAAAGTGCAAAGTATATGTGTTCAGTGAATGTGAATGAGCTCAACTTTCTTTTGCCCACCTAAGGTCCCATCTAGTCATATTCGGCATTACCATAAGCCCTATTGGGATTCTCGTTTATACTCACGTCTACTCACAGGTATTCCAAAGTAGTGTCGTTCATACAGCATTTCAATATTTATTAATTATATGCGTGAATTACATAACGGTTGTCTTGACCTAACCCGAACAACTCTTCCAAAGAATTTTTTTGATTTGGCGATTCAGGGGTACTTAAGATGAATACTATCATACCACTTAAGTCTCTTTTTACAATAAAGTAACTTACTACGCGGAAAGCAGCTGAGATGAGCTTGTGATTGGCGGTTTACCATTTTGCTGTACGGCAGGTAGTTGCTGAAATAAAGCAGGTTGGTCCACCAATAGAGCCGACAGTTCTCGGAGGCCAGGCCCAGGACGTCGCCCCACATAGGTCCGCTCCCAAATGCCGGCATCAGCACGAATAGTGCCGTGGCAAGTCCGAATGCTGGAGTCATCCTGCACTCAGGGAAACCCACATGCACGATTCACTCACAGAGCACCTTCCATTTGGTAAGGCCAGCTTTCCGAAAACAGCTCATGCAAATAGCTCAAACCCCACGCTTTAATCAAATTAATGAATCGTTATAAATCTCCAGCAAAAACACGTGTTTTCTTGGGCTTTATCGTCGGCTGATAAGTGTGCACTACCTCCAGTATCTGTGGAAGACGTCAAATAGCATGTTCCAGAGGCTGAAGCCACTCTTCGTTCGGCTGCATTTCTTCATCTGGTTGTATGCAAGGAGCAGACCACTGTTAACAGAAGAGACAAAGAGCTGACGATAAAAATTAACAGCAATGACAAGAGGAAGAAGAGCAGGTTATCAAAATAGGTTCACAACAATTTTAATTGCAGCATGCATTGTCTTTAATGAAAAATTCTGCAACATCACTGGTTCACTGGATCCTGCATGTACGGCTCCAACTTCCTTTAGCACGTAATTGAGATCGCTCACACTTCGCTTCACAGGAAATCATAACTACGGGCTTCCTCGTTTATGCCTAAAGGCCTTGACTTATATCATATCTATTATTAATTGATTGCATTATTTATGCAAGTGCTATTTAGTACTTACGCTTTTAGAAGCATAAATAAACAGTATTTTCAAAGGTAAGATGAATGAGTTAATAGACATGAACACTAAATGCGGCAAAATAGGCGTCAATGTGGCTTTCTATTGTTTTAAATAACCGATAGTCATTCACAAAACTTACGATGGAGTAACTTTTGACTTGATCCTCCATGTAAGTGTTCCAATGTCTACCTGCCCACTCTCTAAAAATATAAAAAAATACTACCACGTGAAATGACGAGAGTAAATTATATGAAAGAGTAAGTTTTTACGACGAAAGCAATATCCTGCCTCTTGATGCCGAGGTTTTGAGAGACTATTCTATAGCAATTTTCTGGCAAATAAGAGCTATGCTTCATAACGTTTTTTCTTTTGTTTTTGTTTTGTTTTGCTTTTTATTGCATGTTCATCTGCGCTGAGTATATCGACCAATAACTGTGCACACCGATGCCATGGAATATCTCGGCAATAATATTACATTTTTTGTGGTTCGTACACCATTATATGTTTAGCGAATAGCCAAAGTGAGGACTCACGTGATGAAAAAGAAGGTGTCTACAGGCAGCGTGAAGTTCTCGACTAAGGTGAACAAGAAGTCTTTGAACAGGACTTGCAGCTTGGTTAAGGAAGCTGTGAAACAAAGCAACAAAGTCATAATCGTGACGAAAAGCATTACTGCAAAATAATGGAATTGTCATTCATACTCTCCATTCCTTTTTTTAACGATTATTTTTACTCGTCCCACTACATGGCAATCTTAGCGACAAAGGGGGCACGGTGCTTTGCAAACCACGGCGTGCACGAATGTTTATGCCATAGATCAGCGTGTCGGAGATTCAGCTTCCTTTATTCCGATATAGAAAGCTTTCCGGGAACAATGTCGTCACAGCCAGCCTGTATTCTCCCTTTGAGAACATATTCCGGAACATGTTCCCAGGACACAAAGAAACAAAGAAACAAACAAAGAAAAAGAAAAAAGAAAAGAAAAAAGAGAAGAAAAAAGAAAAAAAGAAAAGAAAAAAAGAAAGAAAGAAAAGAGAAAAAGAAAGAAAGAAGTCACTGTGTTGCCCGACTTCGGCGCTGGCGTGGATTATGACAGCCGCCTTTGTTGCTCAGTCGTCTTGCGTTTCAGGCGCGTACAACACATATTTCCGTATTCCTTCTGGTACATTGTGGACAACCTAAGCAGACCGAAAATAAGAGTTTCTACGAGTGTTCCTCAAGCATTATCCGGATGAATTTAGGAGGGTACTGAAATGAATAGATTGAGCTCCAAACTTCAACTTGAAACCCGTGACGCAGGTAGCAGAGTTGGGCAACACAGCATACACGCGTGCGATAGTGAAATCAACGACATGATGGTCCCATACCGAATATTTGCATCTCGCTCCCAAAGAGAAAAACGGACATATCATAATGCACTTTTGTACCTCTGGTCTTGATGTGGGATTTACTTCACAAATCTTGCAACCTCACACAGCGATGGCTCACGTTTGTATGATGTGTTATCACAGTGACGCAGTGCGGGGGGCAAATTTACTTTGGCTAGTAAAAGAACTTGTTGGGCTAGTTGGTACAACTTTTTTTAAAAGTTAATTCGAGTGCGAAAACATGACACGATCACTCACACGTGCACACCTGGGCATCAAACACACACAGGTCGCTGTGTGTGTGTTTGATGCCTGGGTGTGTGTGAGTGATCGTGTCGTCTGTTCGCGCTCGAATTAACTTTGAGAAATTACTTTCACGAATGTTCATACTCCTAAGTGCGGCCTTTCACACAGCTTCCACTTTGACTAACATGACTTTTCCCACAAAGTAGCGCTAATGCATGCATTGGTATTTCTAGAGCTTGTTCGGCCTCGCTCGATCATCTCTCATGGTGCTACTTGCTATATGAGAACTGATATAGCAGTGTATAGCTGACGATCTAGGGAGCCGCATCGACCGCCGGAATAGGCTGCTCCCAACTGAACACCTTCTGAGGCAAGATCTCACAAATTACACAACAGTGCTCTCCTTAGAAAAGGAGGCAAACCGTGCTACAGTAAAGCTCCTAGTGTTCGTTGATGCAGCTTGGAAGCACCTACCTTCATTAAGCACTGAGATAAGATAGCCGAAGAAAAATGACAGTACCACTCACAAGGTCCTATTGCACATTTCATTTAATGATTTGAAGTTGTGAAGCGTCATCTGGGAAGCACTTTATCAGAAAAGTTCTTCAAATTGGTTCATTATTCAGCATATTAGGAGCAATTGAGCTGTCTTGTGCCATGAGAAGCGCTATGATGCCGATGTGGAAACTCGCCTGTTTTCTTTGTTCTCACTTCTTTCACGTTTTGGGACAGTTGTGACCCACTCCACATTGGATGAAGAATCTGTCTCATGCCATGTGAAAAGACCTGCACAGCTTACTCAACATGTGTTGACTTATTTTACCTATTCTTCACTACTTGAGACTCGTAGCATGTTCGATTGTACTGCATTTGCACATCTTGCGTTTGATAGGTACTCTTTATATAAATATGTTTTAGTAAGTTTTTTTGTTTTCAAAATGAGAAGGATAGCCTGCGACATCGTAGTGACACCAACCTCTCGTATTCACTATATAAGTGATATGGACGTAGCTTGCACGTCAGCTTGTGCTTTCTCAAACTGCCAACGTTCTGCTTAAAGTTTAGGTTGTTTTTGCAGCGTGAAAGTATTTTGTAATTCCAGACATGATTGCTATAAAGTGACATATTCAACCCGTCTTTTTTTCAATGATCAAACCCGGTGAGGGGCTCTTTGGGGAGGTTAATACGCGTGAGATTTGCAGAAGCGAGTAACTTCCGCACAGTTCGTCCAAACTGGTCGGACGGGGCTAAGAGTCTGCTCCGTTTTCCCTGGCACCAAAACTTTTCTTACCGACAGTTCTTTGCATTTAAACACGGGATCACGACGTGATTCATTGAAAAAAAATCTATTTTTTATACTGTCACACCATGACCGGGTTACTCAATGTTTGCTATATGGAGCGCAGCTGAAGTTACGCAATTGCGCAAAGGAGCTCCGAGTAAAGTTGGAGGCACCGGTATTCGGCAGCGCAAGCATTTAAAGTACGTTCGCCCAACAAAGATAGAAAACGGGAAATCTGTGCGACCAGCAGGATTGCGTAAAAAGGAAGGAAGGAGAAAAAAAAATGCATTTGCGGTCTTTCCACTGCATGCAGTGGTTTGAGCCACACCACCAGGAACCAGCCAAAACGGCAAACGAAATTGGTTCAAATTGTTATCGATTGTCGTAGCGGCGTTGCCTGGCAGCGTCGACGTGATTGATTGGAGAGTTAAAAGCTCACCGAAGCGGATGTAGGTGGAGAGGTCCGTGAGAAAGTAGATGTGTCCCAGCACAATCCAGAAGCAGGAGATGACGCGGATCCCGTTGAGGGCTTCCAGTGGCCCGGTCGCGTGCTCCGAATGGGCGAACAGCGACCGAGTGTTGCGCACCAGCGAGAAACTCGCCAGGGCTTCCGAAAGTCGGCCTGCGGTTATGCCGGCACGTAAGAAGCGGTAGACAAGTGAAACGTTAAACAATGCACAACAATATGACACCAGCTCTATTAGGGAAGTTGAAACAAAGTCATATACGCAAATGGAATCGCATCCTGGCGTTAAGTTGCGTAACGCATCAGGTGCCCACGCACTTTTTTTCGTTGATTTAGTTTGATCGGGTCTAACAAAAACCTATGACCGCTCAGTGCAAGCCACCTACGATGTTTCGTAGACTTCTAAATTGTCTTAGATTGTGCTGCTAAGATTACGCGCAAATCGGGCTGCGGCAGCCGCATGTCGATAGAGGTGAAAGCCCAGAGGTGCTTATATACTTAAATTTGATTGCACGTTAAAGAACACCACAAGCATGGTCGAAATTACCAGCACTCCACTTCCGTTCCTAATAACGATATTGTAGCTTCAGTAAGTAAAACCCCACCAATTATTATTCAAATTGCGCACAGTACCCGTACACTTGTTAAATCGCGAGCTTACGAGCCATAACGCTGGAAGGTGCGATCACTGCTGTGTACATACAAAAGGTGTTCTGCCAATTATCAGATTACCGAAGACTGACGGCACTTATTGCCGCTACTAGAGTACAGCGCGCTTTGCTTGTACTTCGGAATACTTAGTTGTTTGGGCACAAATTAGCTCACTAGAGTTTCATTTCTGCAGGAGTAACTGCCTCTTTCTTCATAGTCACCACAACGTGACAATACAATAAGTTTGAGGCTTTTCTGAGGTGCAGCTAAAGATAATTGAGGGCACGTTAGCGATTATATAGATAACGAATGGTTTGCGCAGGCAGACAAAAATAAGAAAAGTAATAGCCTCATGTGCTCTTCGTAGTCCTATATACACAATGATCCACAGAAATGTCGCTATCAGCGCTGTTGCTGCTGGAAGCCTGTGATTTGGCACTGGAAAACTGTCTTCTATGGGCAAGCTGAAACTGCACACCGATATTTGCCCCATCGTGCGAAGGCTTCTTATTGAAGCTCGTGAGATTAGATGACAATGCGCCAGCTGGTGGACATGCTCAGCAGCGGCTCCCATATGTTACAGAAATAACAAGCAAGGACCACAGTCGGCGATGTTTCCACAAGGCTCTCCTGTTAAACAGCTAAAAGTAACCCTAATAAGTTCTTCGAAAGTAACCTAATTTACTTTGGAACAAAGCTTTTGAGATACCAACGAACATTTGATTAAAATGAAATTGGTCACATTCTACAAATTTTCAAGTCATTTTTGTGCGCATGCATTCGCTACATGATTGTGGTGACATGGCAAGAGAGTTGCGAATACAATGAACTGACAGTTATCGTATCGGATGCGGTTTTCACAGCAGTATCTGTATGCTAATAACTGTCGCCCGAGTATCTTGTGAGGTATCGCGACACAATTGCAAAGTATCTGCCCAGCCCTGACGTTAAGTGACCCTTAAAACTCGGCGAAATTGGGCGTGTAGCAAGTAGAATTTTACTGCGATGCGCGCAGCTGATAAACGCAATGTGATCAGCTTACAAGCTCAGTGCGTGCAGCTGATGAGCTGTCATAATGAATACGGCAACCCGGTTGTGTTTGAAATGGTAGTGCAATCTATACGATATAGCCAAACAACGGATTGAGTAAATTGCGGGCCTCATTAGGTACAGCTAACTTCCTCGTGCAATACATTTTAGGCGACAGTGGCTCTTTGCGCGTTTGCTGCGGTGTGCATCCGCTACTGACTTGCCACGTTGCAGCTTCACCAGAGGCGGGTGACCGGGATGACTCACACCAAGAGTGTACTTGCATCTATATCTTATTTCACTATGCTTGTCCGTCGCCTCTGTTTCTCTCTCTCGGCATATGTCCTCAGCTGACATTCTTCCTCGCCGTATAATTAGGTAACCTTCGTGAATGTGGAAAAACACACACAACGTCTCACAGGAGCCATTTCGCGTAAAGAAAAACCACTTGCCGCAAACAGTTGCCGTGCGCTTGGCGTCTTGAATGTAGAATACGTCGACTCCTGTGCCAACGATTGCGAAGAGGAGGAGAACGCCCAGGATGCAACTGCAAAAGAGTAATTGCCTTGTGCATAGTATTTCACACCACTCTACGTATTCGCTCTCGTTTTCTTAACTGCTGATAATTTTTGTACTCGCCCCCCCCCCCCCCCCCCCCCGTAATTTATTTATCACACACGTCGAGCTTGCAATGCTGTTCTTTCTGACTAACAACACGAAATAACATTTCTTTCGCATTTCACCGGCAGGTTTGAATAAAGGAGGAATACTGCAGAATAGGGTAAAAAAGTGCGCAGTGTTTAGCGAATAGCACGTCACAATAAGCACTATTGTTGAGCATTGGTAGCATTAGGCAGCCGCCGCTGCTATCTAAGCTCAAAGGAGGACATCCACACTCACAGGACGACAAGCTGCTCCTTGGAAAAGCTGATTGGTTCCTTCACTTGGCATGACGTGACGTTCGCCGTTATCTGAATCTCCTGCGAAGCTGCACAGAAGCCACACCACACAAGAACGTCACTTGTAGAGCCCATGGTTTGGTAGGGGATAAAAGTAACAATAACAACATGACCATTACTATTTATTAAAAAACAAACGAGCAAGCGTAAATTAAGTAAAGGTTTGAAATATACACAATGCATGTTATAATTCGAAAAGAGATACATGAAGACAGTGAAGCATGCAGAAAAATGCCATAACGGCCATCAGAGTACCTGAAATAGAAGAGTAGATTAAGAGTTTCAATAACATGAAAGTATTTGCCTAAATTTATTTAGGTCATAAGGTAGCACGGTCCACAGCTTAATAGCAGTCGGTAAAAAGGATTCGTTGAATGTATAATTAGTGGTGCCATGCAAGCGTTGTGCACTAAGGTCATTAAACAGATGGTTTGAAGTGCGATTGGGTGGAAGCAAAATAGCGTTCCTGAGCTGACAGAACTTACAACACAGTCTGTGAAAAAGAGGAAGTTGTGAAATCTTACGGCGAAGTGTTGCGCCATTTCCGATGGATAATAGAGAACGCTTTAAATTGCATATTCTCGCATAATCCGTTTCGGGCGTGAAACAACACTATGTATCTGCGCCCAGTGCTGATGGGGGCTACTCAATTCAGGCGTACTGCTTCACGCGTCCAACGCGGACCTTGCGTATGCCTTTTATTTCAGAAATAATCGAGTCCGAAAGAATCTAGCACGAACCTCGCGACAAGAAAAACGCTTCGATCAGTCATTTGTACAATGCCGTGTCTGTTATCCACCGCTTTATCTAAGTAAGGCACCTAAACATTGTTTTAAAAATGAAGCTTTGTAGGCAAAACTTATATTTTCATGGCAGTATCGCCGATTGCCTCAAAGACTTGACAGCACGTCTGTGCGAACCAGTCTTACATCTTTGCCAATCTGGTGCCATGACGGGTGTGCCTCTTTTTGGCGTCGTTCTCTTTTGTATTAGAAAAAAAAACTGGGTATTTTCTGTGTAACAAATGTATCCCTTGAAGCGTGTATCTCCTGAAGCAAAACTGATGTAGTGTCCAACTACTTAACAGGTTTTAGAAAACATAAATGTACAATTGATGCAATACTGAACATAGTAACGTACGAGGAGCATGAACTGAACGCGCCTGTGGAAGTTTGACGATCGCAGTGTTGTTTGACATAAAAAGAGCATTTGACGCCGTCGGTCGCACTCACGTTCTGCTAAGTATGTTAGAATTCTGAATGTCCAACAGGTCTTTGCGGTGGATTTTTATATTTCTATCAGGTCACAAAATATTCATTCAGACGGGCGAGGGAAAGAGTGCTGAATATGACGTCAAGCTGGGAGTGCCACCGAGAAGCATACTCATCCCTTTTCTTTAAATTTGTCATGGCTTATTTAGCAAAAAGATTGACTTCTCGGTTGACACTATTTGTATGCAAGTGATGTGTGCATTTGGGCATCTGGTACTGACGCTCAGTTAATTCAGATGGCATTGCAGGCGGGCACAAATATTATTAACCATTTTTTAAAAGAAAGAGGAATGGTTCTGTCGTAGGCAGAGACAGCTGTGTTGCCCTTCACCCATAGGAAGGTGAAAATGTTCAATCTTACTTTGGAAGGTGAATACGTCACTACTTTGAGACAGCATCGATACTTCGAAGTACTAAAACTTCGATCGGCAGTTATCAGGGTCGCCCCACATAAAGAAACACGAAAGCAAGGTAAATATGCTAGTGAATATACTGTGCAGTCTTGCTGGTACATCATGAGGCGGATCTGTATTATTCATGCTCGCTGTCCACAAAGATTTAATATGACAAAAATTGCTTACTCTGCAGCAGTCCTGCACGGCCTTCCTCGCACTTCAGAAAAACGACTTTAAATACTATTAATCTATGGAACTGCACGTATGCCTAGGTGTTCCACGAGCGACTTCCAGCAGCCTTGTCAAAGCAGAGACTCGACAACCATCCTTTCCAGTCATGAGAACAATCGAAACATGCCATCATTTTTTTCGCTTACAGACGCTACGCAAAGACCACCCATTGACAGTGGATATTTTACGAAGGGATAAAAGCAATGCTCATGAAAAAATACAGAGTAATCTACATTTATTGCCAAGAAATAAATTTCGGAGCTCTGAAGTTGACTATCCTCTATGGCTGATTGCAATACCAAGCATTGCATTAACAGTAAATGGCATCATCAGAAAAAGAGACATGTTCATCCAAACTGCTCAACAACTAGTGCTTTATCAGATACACATGCCGTATCCATGATACATACACGTTTTGCACAGTTGACTCAAGTATGTGAACCTCTTCAACATCAGTGTTTATTATATCACAGCTCAATATTCAAAAATCATTTAAATTATCAAGCAGGACTTCATCTACAAGAGCTAAGTTATTCGCTATTCTGTATGGTATCAGCTTTATGAACTCATCAGCAGACGTGAGAAAATGGTACTTTTCAGCGATTCACGGGCCGCATTACCATCACTCTGCAGGGCAAACACGACCGTAATCACTGTTAGTATAACATACGAAACACTTAAAGAGCTCACGAAAGCAAGCCAGGCGTGACACGAGACCAAATTTTAGTGGATGTCTGGACACTAACATTTTTGGTAACACAGCTGCTGATGAAGCTGCACAAGCACATCGTAAATATGTCATTGTTTCTTTACCAATCTCGAAAGAATAATTTCGTAGTGTGATGAGGGCAACAACTTTCGGAATCCATAAAAATACTTGGTTTGATTAAACTACGAAGAGCTGTGATCTATATCATACCAATCCATTCATTGAATTCGAAGTGGCGCTAGCACTAGGTAGAAATATGGAAACACTTATTCACCGGTTGAGGTTAGGCGCCGCATACACAGAACATTTCTTACACAGAATCGACAGAGCTAAAACACCCGAACGCGAATGTAGATTTGAAGGTGGACACTTACGTCCCCCGCTTATAGACTTCCCTTATTACACAGTAAGACACCGTCTTATATCCCACCTGTTGGCATTAGACCACAGACCAGTCAGTATCAAGAAACTTGTGAGCCTATGGCCAAACGAAGCTTCACAGACGTAAGCTCTGAAAGCTTTAAAAGGTTATTTTTTTTTAAGACAGCGTGATTGCTGGTAATTACTAAGAAATAAGGAACTTTCATTCGCATAAGAGATGTTCTACTTATTATACGCAGTATTATATGAAACTCATTTTATATGTGTGTGCTCAAGTGCGTGACGTGTCGACTGTTACGTACACATGAGTGAATTCATCCCCCTAAGGACCAGACTTGGCGACTGCTATTTGTGCCTCTTGGATTCAACTGTAACTAGAGACATTATTCATTGACTTTCTAACATTTTTATTGTTGTGTTGGTGTTTGATATGTGCGTATGAGTGTATCTATACTTGTTTTCTAGTGCGTTTATTTCCCATGTAGTGCTCTTTATACTATATACGTTCAATATTCATTCAAGGGCTAAGGAGTAGCCATCACCTTACTTGTGCGCCAACATCTTGTATATTGTATCAATAAAGAAAAAGAAGCCAAGACACCAGTGGTCTATACTTACACTACGTCTATACTCTACACTACATACTACGCTTGTGCTTTCACCGCCAAGTCCCACTCATAAATATTTTGGGACCATTTAAATCCACAGCTTCATTTTCAATTTGTTAGATCTTTAAAAATATTGCGAAATTTCTGGCACGAGAGAATTTTAGCGAGGCATATAAAATTAGGGTGAGAAAACCTTGTATAGCTAAACTTTGCGCTCCCCCTCTTTACAGCGCCAAAGCACAGCCTGGGTGTCAGTACGAGAATAACGTGTGAGGACTCGCATAGGGTTCACAGGTAGTCCATATGCTTCAGGTTATTAACATACTGAGTACATGACCAAACGCTAGGCTACTCGAGAAGGGGTGCACAAGTATTTAAATCAAACGTAGTATTACACTTCCCAAGCCACTTCCACACTTCCTAAACATCGTATAAGCTTCCCAAGCCAATGTGGCTATTTGTGCAGTAGAAGTGTTCACACGATGCAGTAAACATATGCATGGTCAATATAAACAAGACAGCAACACAAGGGGGAAAGGCGATTTTCTTGGATTTTACAGCGATGTGTCCTCGCCCGTGCATTTTATCTGTTCTCATTTCAAATAAAATTTCAAGTTCGTGGTGGTCTTGCAAAAGTTTCAAAACCTCACACTGATTAAACAAAGGTGCACGCGCAAAGTATGCAAAATCAACTCCAATTGTACATCCTACATTGCCCTGTAATATTATCGTTTTCTCGAAGGCTTTAATTTTGATGCACTATAGTCAGTTCGGCTTATGTGTTGACGACGACGTGAAGAGAAGGATATGGGGAAGATGTCATACACGACGATTTGGCGGCAGTCAACAAGTTTCCTCATTCGTTATCGCATATGCGAAGACATGTCTTCTACGATCATATTCTACAAAGATTAGACAATTCGTTTCCCGCGAAAGAAAAGACGGGATGAGATAAATATATATTTGTATATATGCTATATGTACTTCGATATTCTAAGCACACGCTAGTAGCTGTGCAGCAGTGTTACTATTATTACTGCCTCCGACAGTTCCGAAGCCAGGGTGATGTCATTTAGGAGACATTCAGCCCCTACAGAGAATAAAAATTACACGGAAATGCATACTTTTGCAGCAACGCACCTATGTCTCAAAGAGGCTGTTTGTGTGCATTTTCAAAGCATTTTTTTTTTCAATCAATTATACGCTTATGTACAGCGCAGAAGCCCTGCTTTTCAAATCAAGCTTTGGAAGTGATTTTCATGGCAAGCTTCAGATATGCTGACTTATAGGAGCTTGAAATAAAAACTAAAATTGGCCTGAATCTGCATGTTACACTGCATAAGTCGTCGAAAGACGATAGTCTTGCGTCTGGACAGAATGAACAAAACGTTTTTGATGTTCTGCGCAAGAAAATCGGTGAATGGTATTCTGGAG